ACACACACACACAGACACACACACTATGCAAACTTGAGCTTGGGATCGCTTCTTCGCACTCATGCACAAACATGCGGCGTAGGCCTGTGGCATTAAGGACCCTAAGTTGTTTTTTTTTTTCCTGTCAATTATCCAATTAGAAGATGTCCAATGGACTCCCATAAATTCAACATGATTGTCATGTACAGTATATTTAATTATTAGTGATGTTTGAATGAAAAAAAATGAGACTATTTCTTTCAACTATAGTTCCCTGTGTGGAGTTTATATGTTCTCCCCGTGCCTGCGTGGGTTTTCTCTGGGTACTCCGGTTTCCTCCCGCATTCCAAAAACATGTATACTTGGTTAATTGAACCTCTAAATCAGTCATGTCAAGCTCCGGTCCTTGTGGGGCTCTCTCCTGCCTGTTTTCCTTCTCTCCCTGCTGCAACACACCTGAATTCCAAGGATCAGCTCATCAGCAAGCTTTGAAGAAGCATGAGAACGACTCTCAACATTTGAATCAGGTGTATGGGAGAGGGAAAACATGCAGGACAGCGGAACAAGTTGGACACCCTTGCTCTAAATTGTGCCTCGGTGTGATTGTGAGCATGAATGGTTGTTAGCCTACGTGTGCCCTGCGAGTGGCTGGCTACTGGTTCAGGGTTTACCCCGCCAATATCTAAAAGACAGCTGGGATTGGCTCCGTCAAGTGTCTCCAGTTGGCTGGATTTACACACAACGATTTTCACAGTTTTAGGCTAAAAACGAAAGAAGCGTTTGAGTTTTACAGAAGTCTCAGTGCGCCCCGTCATCTCGTTACTTTGGTGAAAGGTGGTAAACACCGACATTTTAAATCAGTTTTTTCCTAATCTTGGCAATATCAAACATGTTTTATAAAATCATAGGTCTTTCAGTCTTTTAAATGTGAGCAGGTGTGAGATGATTATCTTCCAAAGGTCTTTTTCATATCTTCTCAGACTTGAGATGAACAGGGATCCGTTTCACAAAGCAGGTTTAGCGATAACGCGGAGTCTGTTTGTCTTAAAATGAGGGAAACTAAGTTTTCA